TTTTTTAATTGCATTTTAGGTTTTGGGGAACATGTGAAGAACATGCAAGATTGTTGCATAGGTACACACATGGCAGTGTGGTTTGCTGCCTTCCATCCCCTCACCTGTATCTGTCATTTCTCCCCATGCTATCTCTTCCCATCTCCCCACCCCCGTCCCTCCTCCATTTCCCCCCAACGGACCCCAGTGTGTAGTGCTCCCCTCCCTGTGTCCATGTGTTCTCATTGTTTAACACCTGCCTATGAGTGAGAACATGTGGTGTTTGATTTTCTGCTCTTGTGTCAGTTTGCTGAGAACGATGGTTTCCAGGTTCATCCATGTCCCTACAAAGGACGTGAACTCATCGTTTTTGATGACTGCATAGTATTCCATGGTGTATATGTACCACATTTTCCCTATCCAGTCTATCATCGTTGGGCATTTGGGTTGGTTCCAGGTCTTTGCTATTGTAAACAGTACTGCAATGAACATTCGTATGCATGTGTCCTTATAGTAGAATGATTTATGATCCTTTGGATATATATCCAGTAATGTGATTGCTGGGTCAAATGGGATTTCTATTTTTAGGTCCTTGAGGAATCGCCACACTGTCTTCCACAATGTTTGAATTAATTTACATTCCCACCAACAGTGTAAAAGTGTTCCTATTTCTCCACATCCTCTCCAGCATCTGTTGTTTCCAGATTTTTTAATGATCGCCATTCTAACTGGTGTGAGATGGTATCTCAATGTGGTTTTGATTTGCATTTCTCCAATGACCAGTGATGATGAGCATTTTTTCATATGTTTGTTGGCCTTCTGTATGTCTTCTTTTTTAAAGTGTCTGTTCATATCCTTCGCCCATTTTTGAATGGGCTTGTTTTTTTCTTGTAGATCTGTTTTGGTTCTTTGTAAATTCTGGATATCAGCCCCTTGTCAGATGGGTAGACTGCAAAAATTTTTTCCCATTCTGTTGGTTGCCGATTCACTCTACTGACTGTTTCTTTTGCCGTGCAGAAGCTGTGGAGTTTGATTAGGTCCCATTTGTCTATTTTGGCTTTTGTTGCCATTGCTTTTGGTGTTTTGGTCATGAAGTCCTTGCCTACGCCTATGTCCTGAATGGTTTTGCCTAGATTTTCTTCTTGGGTTTTTATGGTGTTAGGTCTGATGTTTAAGTCTTTAATCCATCTGGAGTTAATTTTGGTGTAAGGTGTCAGGAAGGAGTCCAGTTTCTGCTTTCTGCATGTGGCTAGCCAGTTTTCCCAACACCATTTATTAAACAGGGAATCCTTTCCCCATTGCTTGTTTTTGTCGGGTTTGTCGAAGATCAGATAGTTGTGGGTATGTTGTATTTCCTCTGAGGCCTCTGTTCTGTTCCATTGGTCTATATCTCTATTTTGGTACCAGTACCATGCTGCTTTGATTTCTGTAGCCTTGTAGTATAGTTTGAAGTCCGGTAGTGTGATGCCTCCTGCTTTGTTCTTTTTGCTTAGAATTGACTTGGCTATGTGGGCTCTCTTTTGGTTCCATATGAAGTTTAAGGTGTTTTTTTCCAGTTCTGTAAAGAAGGTCATTGGTAGCTTGATGGGAATAGCATTGGATTTGTAAATTACTTTGGGCAGTATGGCCATTTTTATGATGTTGATTCTTCCTAACCATGAACATGGAATGTTTCTCCATCTGTTTGTGTCCTCTCTTATTTTATTGAGCAGTGGCTTGTAGTTCTCCTTGAAGAGGTTCTTTACGTTCCTTGTTAGTTATATTCCTAGGTATTTTATTCTCTTTGTAGCAATTGTGAATGGCAGTTTGTTCTTGATTTGGCTCTCTTTAAGTCTGTTACTGGTGTATAGGAATGCTTGTGATTTTTGCACATTGATTTTGTTTCCTGAGACTTTGCTGAAGTTGTCTATCAGTTTCAGGAGATTTTGGGCTGAGACGATGGGGTCTTCTAGATATACAATCATGTCATCTGCAAATAGAGACATTTTGATTTCCTCCTTTCCAATTTGAATACCCCTTATTTCTTTTTCTTGCCTGATTGCTCTGGCTAGAACTTCCAGTACTATATTGAATAGGAGTAGTGAGAGAGGGCATCCTTGTCTAGTGCCAGATTTCAAAGGGAATGCTTCCAGTTTTTGCCCATTCAGTATGATATTGGCTGTTGGTTTGTCATAAATAGCTTTTATTGTTTTGAGATACATTCCGTCAATACCTAGTTTATTGAGGGTTTTTAGCATAAAGGGCTGTTGAATTTTGTCAAAGGCCTTCTCTGCATCAATTGAGATAATCATGTGGTTTTTGTCTTTTGTTCTGTTTATGTGGTGAATTACGTTTATGGACTTGCGTATGTTGAACCAGCCTTGCATCCCCAGGATGAATTCTACTTGATCATGGTGGATGAGCTTTTTGATATGCTGTTGCAATCGGTTTGCAAGTATTTTATTGAAGATTTTTGCATCTATGTTCATCATGGATATTGGCCTGAAATTTTCTTTTCTTGTTGAGTCTCTGCTGGGTTTTGGTATTAGGATGATGTTTGTCTCATAAAATGATTTGGGAAGGATTTCCTCTTTTTGGATTGTCTGGAATAGTTTCAGAAGGAATGGTAGCAGCTCCTCTTTGTATGTCTGGTAGAATTCGGTTATAAACTCATCTGGACCTGGGCTTTTTTTGGGTGGAGTAGTAGACATTTTCATTTCATAATGGAAATTTCTGATTAAAACTACAATGAGATAGCCATGTATTTGTCAGGGCTGATGTAACAAATTACCAAAGATTGTGTATCTTAAGCAACAAATTTGTTTTCTCACAGTTCTAGAGACTAGAAGTTCCAACCCAAGGTGTTAGTAGAGTCAATTCCTACTGAGAAAAAACTGTTACTTGCTTCGTCCCTGACTTCTGGTGATTTGCTGGCAATCTTTGGTGTTCTTTGGCTTGTAAGAACATCACCCTGATCCCTGCCTTCATCATTAATAGTGCTCTCCATGTGTGCATGTCTATTTCCAATTTTTGCCATTTAAGAAAGATAACAGTCTGATTGAATTTGGGCCCACTCTAATAACTCATTTTAATTGATCATTTCTATAAAGACTTTCTACCAAGTAAGGTTACATTCTTAGGTACTGGAAGTTAGGGCTTCAACATGAATTTTGGGTAACACAGTTCAACTCAATACCACGCACCTGTCATAATGGCAAAATAAATAAATAAAAGCAAGACAAAACAAAAACAAAAAATACAAAGCATTGGTAAAGAGTTTCAAACATTAACAATGAAAGATTAAATTGTGAAAATGAAATTTGCTTAGCAATATCTGCTAACAGGTAAACACACAGCAATTCTATTCCTTGTTATTTATTCTACTGCAACATTTAAATATACAAAACAAAATACATGTATAACAATGTTCAAAGAAACACTATTTTTATTTCAATATGTTTTTGGGCAACAGGTGGTATTTGGTTACATGAACAAGTTCTTTCGTTGTGATTTTTCTGACATTTTTGTGCATCCATCATCCAAGCAGTGTACCCTGTACCAATGTGTGATCTTTTATCCCTGCCGTCCCCCACCCTTTCCCCTTCAAAGCAACACTGTTCTTAATAATCCAAAGTAGAATCCACTCACACGTCCATCTACAATAGAATGGACACACTGTGGCATAATCATGTAATAGAATGCTAAATAACAATGATCATGAACACCCCACTGCTATTTGCCAAAGCACAGATAAATTCCATATTGACTGAAAGGCAGATAGAAAAAGTACTTATTGTATGATTTTATGTATGAAAAGCTAAAAAAATTATATCAGGCAAGGCAATTCTGTAATGAAAATAGGCAGAATATTGTTTACTGTTGAGTGAGAATAGTGCCTGAGAAGGTGCATGAGGGGACTTCCGTGGGTCTGTGCTATCACTTTACTGCTTCAGTATTATACACAAGAGCACCTAAGTTGGTTATAAATGAATAAAATAGGACAAACAAGCCTTTCAAAGACTCATCAAACAGTTATTTAAAACATGCTTTTCAAAGGCTTATTAAAACAGTTAAAGTTGAAGAATATTTCCTGGAAGATTTTTATACATTTCCTGAAAAAAGCTATGCACTTCATTAGAGAGAAAATGACAGAAAAACTTACTTTTACTTTAATAATATAGTTTCCTTTCCCTGTCTACAGGTAGGAAAAAAGTTTTGTTTTTTTCTCATGTCCCCTTAAATTTCTTAAAATTCTTTTTTTATGAACGATTTTAGTTCTTCTGTTTTACTGTTTTTATAGTATTCTGCCAACTTGTAATGGGAAAAAAAACTGAAGAAAATAACTGACAAAATTTGTTTTTGTCTAAAAAAGGAACATGACATTTTTCTCTTAAGGTTTTATTTTTAGAAAGTAAAAATAAAAGGATTTTGTTCCTTGATAGGATACTACTTTCAATAAAGCAGAAACAATTTTTGACATTTGAGTGCTTGAATTTTGCATTAGCATGTGATTGGGAAAAAAATGCACTGAAATATAGTTAAGTATTCATTTATTGACGCTTTGTATTATTTTACTGTTCTTAAATATTACGTCAGGTAAAAAAGTATCTTCTGATCTATATGCCAATGTTTAGGTAGTGGTTAACAAACACTTAAGATGAAAGGCAGTATTACGATCTCATCTGCTGTTTACTGAAGGTGTGTATCAAGAAACAAATAAGAAATGTCTCCATCTGGTGGTAAAAACATTGAACTTCTTCAGACAGACCCCTAGGGCTCTAGTATGAAAACAAGAAACAAAGACACGGTGTTCTGTGACAGCACCGAAGTAATTTTAGCTAACAAAAACTTTTAAAATAGATTTAGACTCAAAAAGGTTAATTATTAAAACAGTAATTGTTTGCAAATGAGGGGAGCCAGGTACATTAGAGTGTGGATAAATCAGCGTAAGTGTGACCTGGCCAGATACACATGGCCCATTTCAGCCAGCAGTTCTACTATGCAAAACACTGCATCCTAAAATGATACATCTCTTTACCTAGATGTGTTGGTGTGGAGCAATGACCGAGTTATTCGCTGGATACAAGCAATTGGACTTCGAGAATATGCAAATAATATACTTGAGAGCGGTGTGCATGGCTCACTTATAGCCCTGGATGAAAACTTTGACTACAGCAGCTTAGCTTTATTATTACAGATTCCAACACAGAACACCCAGGCAAGTTGTTTTTTGCTGTAGTCTTATTGTATTCTGGTATATATAATAAGCTAAACTTTTAGAAAAAAAAATCTGTGTGTTCATGGTTATTAATGAAAGTTAGCTCAACGTTTGAAATATGTCACTGGGGTTTTAATTTCAGGCTAGTGGATTTCTAGCCAAAAAACATCATAAAATTAAACAAGAAAGGGATTTAGAAGTTATATGGCCCAATCTCCCACCTGAATGCCAGATTCCACTAAACGAAATCCCTGACAGATGGCCATCATCAGTCTCTGTCTCTCTGAGAGGCAGTCATTTCTATTTACATGTGTGAATTATACAGAGTCTTAGCACTGGATATGCCAGTGATTCTCAAAACTGGATAATTTGAATCAATATAGTTCCTGATGAATAAAAAATAAAACCTCCAACCCACATCATAGTCCTAAGAAATCAGTTATTAAGAGATAGGGCATGGGAATCTTTATTATCTAAACTTTCCCCAAATGAAAATCGTTGGCCAGGTCTGAGAATTACCTGCATAGATTTGATTAAAAATTAACAATCCAATTTACTTTTTTATTTTTTTACATATTTCAGAGATTAAACAAAATACTCAATTGGAATAAGGTAACCAAGTGAGACCAAAGTCTCTTGACCTCAGACACTTATGCAAGACTGTCTCTCTACTGTCCACAGACGACCAAAAAAAAAAAAAAAAAAAATGCCCAAGTAGTTTTTTATAGTTAAAATTTACAATGGCTAATAGACATGGAGGACTTAAATCTTAAAAGTCCATAAATAAAATATGGTTTGTAATACATTCTCAGATAAATATGAGCCACATTATTTTTAACATAAAATGTGATTTCAGTGATGGTAACTGTAATTTGATGTCAACAGGCAAGGCAGATTCTTGAAAGAGAATACAATAACCTCTTGGCCCTGGGAACTGAAAGGCGACTGGATGAAGTAAGTTTACCTGTTATTCAAAAAAGATCTTAGAGAGTAAAAGAAAAATGATGAAAACATCTTTGTTTTTAAGGAATAGTGCTTGGAAATTAATCAAATGACTATTCTATAATTAGAATTGAGAATTTTATCCATGTTTGTTGTTAAATATTCAGTCTTATTTTGGAATAAGCAATTTTGGAAAGACCTATATTAATTATAAATATAAGTATTTCAGCAATTAGAGATACTAAACAGTAATTTACAATTTTTATGAGCTGTGACTGCAAAATGTTGAGCAACAATTTTTAAAAATTAGAAAAAATTAAAACACTAATATTGATGAATTCAGCTTTTTAATAAAGAATGCATTTATTTCTTAAATCAGTATATCTTGCCAGGAAATTTTAGAAAATTTAAATGAAAGTAAAACTCGCTTCAGTGGATGGGAAGCTTTTTATTATTTTATATATTGATACTGAGTTTTCCTTGAAAACAGATGAATAACATTTTAACAATCATAGAATTTGAAAGCTATATTGAGTATAAGATTCACTATATCTAATATATGCATATTTAAGTGATTTGGAAAATAATCAACATGTAAGTAGCCTCCCCAGATGAATGAATACAAGGGATATTAGTAAATGCTGTGGACTGGTAGACATTTTAATAGTTTTTCTGAGTTTTTCTACAGGATCTTTCTGGAAGAAGTGGGAAAGAAAACTGAGTATGTAGTAGAAAATAAAGAGATGCATAATTCTGTGTTGCAAAGTACAGGTGTTTCTTGATACAAAGACAAGCTAATCATCTTATGAAGAACTCAACAAATCCAAATATGGGCCAATAATTCTATATTCAAATAGGCAGGACAGATAATCTTGGTATTATAAAATCTACTCTGTCCTTTGTCCTGTGGAGATTATAAAGAGATAAGCTCTACAGTCTTGTACTCAGCTAACTTCTGATAAATTCGTGCTCTTATTCAGTCGAAAAATGATTAACATTTCTAAAAGCCTAATCTTAAAAGTTGCATGACAGAATTTTTATTCCTTACTCAAAATTATTGATTCAAGAAGGGCTTCTTTTAAACTCATACATCTTAAAACACAATTATTCTTACTTAAAAGTTGCAAAAAATTACAGTAAAAATTATTGAAGACTTGTCATATTGCTACTTTCTCTTAGGAGCTGAACGGGTGTGGGGTAGCTTCTTGATAGTAGTGAACTTGAAGAAAAGTCTACTGAGCCAATTAAATGAGATGTGACTCTTTGTCTTTAAACTGTGCATAAGTGGAACATAGTATATCCAGTATTTATTTTGGAAAAAATTGGTGGCTTATTTTAGGCTTTCAAAGATATTTACTGTATAGATGTCAGACCTTAAATTTGAAACTGTATGAAAATTTTTATTTAAAAATTTATATATCAAATCACGTACAGTCTTGTTTTGGAATCATAGAACTATCTTGATAAAGCATGATTCCACATGTATACTTGACAGACTAAATGTAAATAATCTGTGTTACATGTTTGTAATTACACAGCTTTATGCACACGGACTAGTTTACTTGTTTTTGTAACATCACGTTATAACTGTACTGGCAGAGTGATGACAAGAACTTCAGACGTGGATCAACCTGGAGAAGGCAGTTTCCTCCTCGTGAAGTACATGGAATCAGCATGATGCCTGGGTCTTCAGAAACATTACCAGCTGGATTTAGGTTAACCACAACATCTGGGCAGTCAAGAAAAATGACAACAGATGGTACAGTAGTTTTGCATTGCTTGCTTATAAAGCAAAAAGCTTGTTTAGCCAAAGCTAGTATAATTCTCTGACCTTACTTTCTGGAATTATTTTCTTGAGTTGGTTTGCTCTGCTTGAAATTTGCTTTGCTCTCATCACAAACCAGACTCCCTTTTACACTGCTATTGCATGAACTCATGGCACTTTATTCACGTTTTCAAAATAATTTATAACATCCTAAAAATAATAGTTTGGCTAATGTCCACCTCTGGGAAGAACAATAAACATCGGCATTAATTGTGTTTCTTTGTCTTCTCCCAAAATAAACAGTTTAACTCCACTGTCTCCCTACATGTTTAAATATTGCAAGTTTTATATGTTATCTTAGAAATTCAGACTCATCAGCTATTTTTTCCCTCTAATCAAGGCTGAAGGCTTTAAATAAACAAACACAAACATGAAAAGACAAACACAAAAAACAGTAACTTCCCAATTAGTATTTCCTTTTGTGGACATTAGACTTACAGTATTTACTTTATAAAGGAAAACAGTCATTCCAGAGGAGGGACAACTTTGAAATAGGAGTCACAAAATTATTTCTGTTTGGGAGGCATTAACGAAAAATAGTCCCACTCTGTTTGTTAACATAATCACCTAGCATCATTATTTACTTTCAAAGTCATAGTTATTATAAATAAAAATTAGTTCCAGCATCAACTGTGATCTTTGATCTACATTTCTTACAACTTGTTAATATTGTGGAACATGTCAGCAAAATTCATGAGGAACTTAACATCATTACAGTGTACAAGTTCTTCAATACGTAGAGCACTCATTATGGTGAATTTTTTCCTGCTCCAAGAGCAGTCTCTGTATTAAAAACTGAAGCACCCTGGGGAGCTGCTCCTGTTATAGATTTCATCTAAGGAGGAATACGTAACAACTCAAAAGCTCAGGTGAATTACATTGGGATAAATTTTCATTAGAAGCTTGATCTAGAGAAGAGGAATGTGAGTGGCTTACATCTGAGAGAAAGAAGGTCTACTAATATGTTCAGAATCCCCATATGCAGGAAAAATAAATCTTTCTCATCTGAATCTTGTACTCAATCATCCAAGTCCCTCTAAAGCCCTTTTCTCCATTTGCAGTTGCTTCATCAAGACTGCAGAGGTTAGACAACTCCACTGTTCGCACATACTCATGTTGACAAGCCACTCAAAGGAGGCAGCACTGACCTGCTGTGAGTAGTTTCCCTTTGGCTGACAAAAAAATAAACAAACAAACAACAACAGAAAGTGGAACCTACATAGACTAGTCAATATACACTATACTCTTTGGTAGACCCTAGCAGTACAGAAGTGAGATATCTCTTGAATTGCTTCAGGGGGAAAAGAAATCTTTGTATTTTAACTCTCAGTCTGGTATTTCTCCTATCACCATCTGTCTGCTATGGTTTAAGGTCTGCCTGGTGGAGGCCTGTCACTGTATTATCACACATCAGTGGGTTACCACTACACTCTTTTCTACTTTTTACTGCCATTTTATTTTGATTTGCATAGCATTTTATTAGTAATAATTCAGCACTTTAAAAAACGCTATCATTTTAAATGTATATTTTATGTAAGAAAACCAAGGTAGGCAGATAGGGATTTTAGCAAGTTCACAGAGTCAAATAGCAACAGACAGGAAAATGATTTAGAGATGGTTTTATATTAAAAAGTAAAAACTTGCCGAGGCAGGTGGATCACTTCAGGTCAGGAGCTGGAAACCAGCCTGGGCCAATATAGTGAAACCTCACCTCTACTACAAATACAAAAATTAGGTGGGCATGGTGGAGCACTCCCATAATTCCAGCTACTTGGGAGGCAGAAGTTGCAGTGAGTGGAGATCGTGCCCCTGCACTCCAGCTTGGGTGACAGAGCAAGACTCTGTCTCAAAATAAAGAAAGTAGAAATTGTGAAAAAAACTGTTATTACATTGTATCTTATCAATTTGATTTAAACTTGGTAAAATAATTATGAATTTTAAGTATTTGAGACTTATAGGAACAAAATTATAAGAATGGAGAATAACCCTCAGGCATTTGATTTTAAGGAAATACTAATTAATGAAAGCTACTTTAAAATCCATATAAATGAGATTTCATTGAAAACAATCTTAATAGTAAAACTGTGGTTTCCTAGATTCATAAATGTCAAATGTTCATAAATTTTTTTGACCTAAAACCATGGCTTACCAAAATATTTTACCACTTTCAATTAATATTTTGGAAAATACTTTTTAAGAGCAATATTTAGAACCAAATGTGTGCACAGGGATAGCAGAAAGCAGTTATAGGCAGGAACAGCTTGCCTTGTGCTGTTTCTTCATTGCCTGGAACTAAAAGCTCCACACAGTTTATTGTTGCTCTTTTGGGCGTAAGATGGGAGCAGATATGCTGCCTTGTTTGGATCAATATTTGAAGCTGATAAAAAGCATCCAGATAAGATATATAATTTCAGAATGTACAACCCTTACATTAAAATTTTAATTATAGTATATAATTTGGCATCTAATTATAGGCATGATTTAAAGTGTAGAATAATTTGCCTAAATAAGAGGCCTCCTAAAATACTGTTTATAATAGAGTCTACACATAGCATAATAATTTCTTCAGGAACTGAACACTTCAGTAATTTACAAATGACTATTTAATATATTCAATAGTGCTTGCTTCTTAGCTCTTAACTGATGGGTAGAGTTACTCTATTTGCAATCTGTTTTTTGTGCATGGCATTCTAGTTCATATTTCCTAGTTTTTAACATTAATTGGGATAACAGTATTTATTTGCAATAAATTTAGGATAATTTTTCTTTTGATAAAACAATAACACTTTTGTTATTAAAATAATTCAGAGCTGACTACTTGCTGTTTCTTTTGTGTCAGTAATAGTAATTGTGAGCTTTTTCTAAGTATATTATGGCTGTAAAGATTCAGCAATGCCTTACTACTGACACAAACCCTTCAAAATAGGTGACTTATTATCATTGTTTTTGTCACAAATAAAAGGTGCCTTTTTAAGAACTCTAAAATATATGAACTAGAATATAAATCTATATTATGAAATAGGTCAATTCAACCCAATTTATTAATTAGCAAGTTGTAAATTTTTCAGAAGGCATGCTAACATTTGCATAACTACCTTTGTTTACATTACTGCCATACTTTCCACAAAGTTGAGCAAATCTTATTATTTATTAAGCTCCCCTGAACCAAATTGGAGAAGAGAAAATGTTAATTAGATATAGCTGTTGGCTAGATCCTAGAAGATTTCCTTACCATGGTGTTTTAGGACAGGAATAATCAGGCTGCATCGAGGTACCCCACAGAGGAGTAGAATGAGATTTCCCAGTCTGGGACTTTTCAGTGAACTAATGCTATCCGTTGTATATTTTAGATGTCGTCTTTTCAGTCTACTCTACCTAAAGTGCACTACCATCTAAGAAGACGAGCAGTGAAAATATCTGTGAAAACTGAATTCTAAGAAACTAATGACGTCATGATTTATTAAAAGCTGAAAAAATGTGATTTTAGGGGAGTCAGATGTTACATTTGATTAGTTTACTACAATTGTAATAAAATGCTTAAGTCATTTGAATAATAAACATCTACATCATAAACTCTGTACAACAGATGCTTTTATGAAATGAAGCCACTTGATTTTCATGTTTTATTGTAATATACTAGGCATTTATGTATTACTGTGCATTTCTTTTTAAATGTGTAAGTCTTATGTAAATGGATATAAATATGATTTTTTAAAAAATAAAATATATGGTTCATGGAGTCTCAAGTACAAACATTTGACAATTCTAAGTACTGTTTGTATTTTACCATTCCACCATTTTTACAGTTTTTGAATTGTTAACCGTCAAATCAATGTTTCCTTGAAGCGTGTTCCATGCTTCAACATGTTTCTCCTTCAAGTCTGTCAATACTTACTTAAAGCTGAACAACCTGCCTCTGATCATGTAAAAAAGAATGATTTAACCTGGAACTGGAGCCAAAAAATAGAGCTTTAAAGGCAATCAGGGATGTCCTATATCTTTAGAAATAGCACTGTGATGGCTCGATCTCCTTTTCAATACAAAACAAAGCCAACCTGTTTACAAGGGTCAAAAGCAATTATTTAAAAATTTATATTAAAAAACCATTATCTTCTCGTTACCTGTGGACCAAGAAAAAGAAAAAAAAAAAAAAAAAAAAAAAAAAAACTTCTTTGCTAGAACCACATGTTCATTCAAGTATCTTGAACTGCCAGCCAGTACTGGACAGCGAATGTCAACCACCACAGAGTCTGAGGCTCATTTCCACTGGAGAAAACAAAACCCAAGAAACCCTTCCCTCTTGTTAATGGAACAGGGCATTAGCCAGACTCATGTCTAATGTTATAAGCTTTCAGCCAAGATGGCCTTGTTGCGACTTCCCTGAAGTCAGTTTATCAGAGGAAATAAATGAAAGACAGAACAATTAACATATATAGTGTATAAAAGTATAGAAGAGTAATCTCTTTCCCTGTGGCTTTATTTGGTGGTGTTACTGTTGTTTATTCTTTGTTTATATGGGAGATTCAAAGTAAAACCTATTTAATAATACCATTTATCTAACTGCTGATTTTCTGCTGCTTGATCTTATTAAGCGCAAGACCTGTCATTAGTAATTTCTTTTTTTGTATTTTAATTTGCTATGTTTGCACGTACATTACATTTGTTTCGATGTCTATTTTTGTTTAACAGATTCAGTCAAAAAGTAATGGTAACAGAAACCCTTTCCATTGTCAATAAAAAAAAAATACTTCCAGTTCTCTGTTTAAGCTTTGTTTTCTAGTCACATAAGGCTCGACAATTTATTTAAACTATAAGGAAAATTGTTCTTTGGGTGACTCAAATATTTAGCTTCAAAAGTGAGTCTGCCACAAGAGGGAGTTCTAAACTTGCTTATGGGAATGATCTTAAATTTTTCTAAAAATGTGGCCTGAGCAGGAACAATGAGAAAGAGCTTTCTGCACTCATCTAAACATGGTCATCTTCATTCATAGAAACGAAATAGAATATAGGAACTATGACATTATAATGCCATAACTAGATTTGGATCTACTATTATACACCACTCAATCACTAAAATCAATGTCTTTCTTTTAAAGATATCAAAAGATTAATCATCTAGTATAGATACTAACATATAGTGATGCAAAAGATCCAGCTATTTCCCTCAAAAAAGCATAAAATTTGCTTTAATTTATAAGATAATTTCTACCAGATTCTAAAATCGATTTCATGGATGAAGCTCAGAATCTCAACGTGTTACCTTTTGATCATTAACATTATAAATTCTCACATTTTTAATGTTTAGGACCTTTCAAATACAGTTTTATATAAGCAAAACTGGTCTTTAAATGTAGGACAGGTCTCACTTAAATATGTTTAATATATTTTCACAAGCAAAGTAACTCAATGAATTGGAAAATACTTTTCTATAACTTTTGAAAGTACTTTATATTTTCATTTTTTCAATATCTTACCACAGGTAAGATTCTAATATCTTATGGTAAGATTCTAATATCCTGTGTTAAGATATTGGAAAAATGAAATATGAAAGATATTTCTTTCATAGTAAGAAATCCTATGAAAATACCAAACGAAGATCACACAATTTATTCCAACAAGTTTACGTATGACTGCATTTTTTTAGTAACATCATATTGTTTTTGAAGATATATTTAATTCAGAATATTTTAAGTATTATCTAGCAAAAGTGATTTATGGTTGGTAGTAAAATAGAATGCTTTTTACCTCCCAAATTTTAAGCAGTCTGATGATTCAACTGTACCTTTCCTGCCCAATTTTTCATCACATAAAAGTAACAACATTCTTTGACCTTGCAATGGAGATGCATTTCCCCAGTGAGACACAAAAAATAGCCACTTACCCAGTCTCAAGCACTGCTTTCCATTCCCATCCAACTGGAAAATAACCCAAGTCTGCTTGCTGAGGTGTCCCTTCAGATTCGATTACCAGAAAAAAAAAATGTGCAAGAGGACCAAAGATGCAACCTTTACACAATTCTTGGATCTGCCTGAAATTAAACTTTGCAAATGAACAATGACACACATTCAGCTAAAGAATTTGCCATTTTGAATTAACTCTTACTTGAAAAAAAAAAAAAAGGAAACACATTCTACTGCTAAGACATTAAAAATGAGTTATTAATGAAGACCACCGTTGTGGCAATGGATAAAATGTACCAATGAAAAAGACAATTCAAGGAACTCAGAAGCTTCAAATTAGAGTGTCTATCTAGTTGCTTTAATTCAGGCTACTAACGTAACAAAAGAGAAAAATTATATGAATATATTTTCCAGGTGTAACAATCAAGAAGGCAATTTAATAGGAATTTGCTTTAAGAAGCTGTTTATTTTGCAGACTTTAGTCCTAAAAAAGGTTAACATTTTCAGAATGTTTTTATATAAGTTGTAGATCATTTTTATAACAATAAACCTTCATCTATTATCTATTTATCTCTCACATACATTTCATGTACCCAGAGTATTATGCTATATTAGTTGCTCTTGATAATAATATTCCTGATAGACTAAAAGATTGAGAAATACTTGAAGAACGATCAAAGATACAATGAGCACAGTATACTTCTGTGTTAAAACATATTGTTTGATAACTGATATCATATAGATCCCTAAATAAATCAAAGTTTTAATTTCCTACATCCATCTACTCTAGTTAACTGGCCCATTCCTATTAGCTTAACAAAAACTTAACTTTTCAATTATTTAAAAAAAAATACTTAAGAGCTTTTTAGAATTTAAATGCAAAGATACTTTTGGACATTGCAATATTTTTAATGAGTTATTATTTTAAAATTAGAGATTTTACATTAAAATCAGGATTCTTTGTTCTCTCTTAAAAACCAGAGGCTCGGCCGCCAGGCGTGGTGGCTCATGCCTGTAATCCCAGCACTTTGAGAGGCTGAGGCAGGTAGATAAACAGGTTGAGAGCACAAGACTAGCTTGACCAACATGGAGAAACCCTGTCTCTGTTAAAAATACAAAATTAGCAGGGCGTGGTGGCTCATGTCTGTAATCCCAGCTACTCAGTATTACCTCTGCGATTCATGTGGGGTTCAACCGCTTGAATCCCAGATTCAGAGGTTGCAGTGAGCCAAGATTGCACCATTGCACTCCAGCTTGGGCAACAAGAGCAGAAAAAAAAAAAAAAAAAAAAAAAAAAAAAAAACAGAAGATCTTGCAGCAGGAGACTTACCTCTTTTGGGGGCCATATTCTTCTGGGGCTGCTGCTCCCTGAGGTGGAGCAGGAGATCTGCAGTCTTCACATTTTCTGTCCTTTGGTCCTTTGTCCCTCAAACCTAGTGGTTTTAAATTCACTTCAAAATCACCTAGACATTACACTACCTGCCTGGAAACCCTCTTGGTCTTTAACCTAATGTAAAAACCTTGATGTCTCTTAAGAGTTTTCCTTGCCACTCCACCACATTTGTACATTGATTCCTTGTTTCCACAGAAATCTAGAATCATTCAGAAATGCACAGCCAACTAAGAACCTGCGACATTAGGAGGTACTCTCTGGAGCCCCCATCTCCATGAAAAGATTGGACTAAATGGTATCTTGGTTGTCTACCAGGCAAGTGGTTTGTTGTTGTTTTGAGATGGAGTCTCACTCTATATCCAGGCCGGAGTGCAATGGCAGGTATCAGCTCACCACAACTGCCACCTCTGCAGTCCAAGCAGTTCTCCTTGCCTCAGCCTCCCAAGTAGCTGGGATTACAGGAGCCTGCCACCACGCCTGGCTAATTTTTGTATTTTCAGTAGCTACAGGGTTTCACCATGTTGGCCAGGCTGGTCTTGAACTCCTGACCTCAAGTCACCCGCCCGTCTCAGTCTCCCAAAGTGCTGAGATTACAAGCTGAGCCACCATGCCAGGTCAGATATGTGGTTTTCCTTGCCTAAGTAACAAATGACCTAAAGGTATAGCTATAATCCTGGTGTTCAGCTTTCCCTCAGAAAACGAATAGCTAGAAAAGTCCTCCTAACTAGATAATAATTTCATCTGTCTAATGATTACCTAAACTTCTCATTTCATCGATTTAAAACAAGAATATTAGAAAATATGAGAAAATATCTAAAGCATATTAGAAAATATCTAAAATTTCTACAAGAAAAATTTTAGTTATTTTCTGACTTAAAGTTTTAGATTTTGGATCAAAACTACAGATTCTTAGTTTCAGGAAGTGGCTCTGTATTAGCATTGCTTTCAATTAAAGTGTTTTACTTGGGGGGTGCTATTTTAAAAATAATACACTGGATACTTTTTTTTCTAAAGCAGATTACATATAATGAGTCATCTTATAAGCAACTAATAACAATGTTAACAGGGTCCAATCAAACAGAAGGCACAAGTCTTTCACAAGTTTTCATTAGATTTGTTTAGGCCAAGTTTTACAATTCACATTTCAGTTTGCAAGTAATTTCTAGTGAAATACTTATTTCTGAGAAACAACTCAAATATTTTAATTACAATTAAAAAATTAACTGAAATTTACTCAAAATAGGAATGAAACAAACTCATGATATTTGCTTCAGTATTTCTTCTACATGGCCAAAAATGCTTGGGTCTTCAATTGAAGGGGTTATCTGGGGGAAAAAATTAGGGTCAGGTGAATACTCTTCCTTAAATTTCTTCTACTCTTTCTATAATTAAACAATTATATGCAATGTTGTTTTCTGCATTGTCTTGTAATATTCATATGGAAAAGTTTAAAAATAGAGAACTTTGAGCCTAATATATTAATACTTATCTATAGTTTTCCAGAGTAAAACAGATAAACAGTTCAATTAGCAAAAAACTGTTGGACCTAGATGTTATTTTCTCTAGAGTTAGAGTTCTTCTTAAGAGTCTTCTATGTATGCCTATAGAAAGAATTTTTCTTTTTTGGCATTTGTTCACATAACTACTCCTTACTATTGCATTGCCTTTTATTATCTTAATGATAAAAATAGGTATATCTTCACATACATAATGTTACAATTAAAAGAAAACATATGCTTGAATCAGCCTAAGATTTCCTAAAATAATGTCATAAATAATTACAAAATTAGCATTTATCGATTAGAACATTTTAAACATCTACTGCTGCCAGCCTCAATTATTTTCCTTTCTCATTCACTAATTGCCATTAATTACTATAATAAGGAAAATGGACCTTGTAATTCAATAGGATTGAATTTCCACAAATTTGTTTGAATTTAGCTGGCAATTACTAAGAGCAAAAATATTTTGACAGGCAGTAGTGGTTCAGGCCTGTAATCCCAGAACTTTGGGAGGCTGAGGCAGTCAAATCACCTGAGCCCAGGAGTTCAAGACCACCATGGGCAACACAGACAGAACACTACCTCTACAAATACAAAATAAAAGAATTAGCCAGGCACAGTGGCATGCACCTGTAGCCCCAACTACTTGTGAGACTGATGTGGGAGGATCCCTTTGACCAGGACTGTGAGGCTGCAGTTCTGGTGAATATGCCACTGCACTACAGCCTGAGTGATAGAGCAAGACTCTGTCTCTAAATAAAAATAAATGTAAAAAAATATTTTCACACGTTGGTTCTTATCATCAAAGCATATGTTCTTAACTAATCTGAGTTTCTTTTCAAAACCCTCATCCCTACAGAAGGAATGGCTATATAATTTCTCCCTTAACATTTAAAAAAAAAGGTACTATTATGTGTTTTCTAGGTATGTAATTTATATTTGAGAACCATTTTTAAGAGCTTTGCTTATGCCAAAGAAATGAAGAAAAATATTTTACAACCCAAGATTAAATATCTTTGATAAATTACCTTGTATGGCTTGCCGTTGACAATGGCAGATAAAGCTGATCGAGGGATTTTGCCAGATCTGGTTTTGGGTAGCTGCTTGACAAACACTGCCTTTCGAAAAGCAGCCACAGGGCCAATGCTCTGTCTAACGTGTTTCACAATTTCTTCCAAAACTTGCTCCTCTGTTGCATTTATATCTAGAGAGAAAGTTCAGAGAGTAAGTACTGAATTAACCTTAGTTAATTATTCAGGGCCCAAGCATTCAAGAAGGACAAAGATCTCTCACCTTTTCTCAACACACAGAGTGCTAAGGGGACGTGACCTTTTAAAGGGTCTTCTTTGCCTACAACAGCACAGTCTGCCACGGTGCCATGGGAAAGGATTGACTGCAATAAGGAAAGGCATTCTTTTAGGATATACGTATTTACTATATATATACATTTACCATATAGCTATAGATATACAAACATATAATTTCAGCTGGGAAAAAAGGTACGTGTAAGAGAACCCCAAAATCCTGGCTGCCTATTTAAAATTCATAAGTAATTTATAGCATTACTACTGAAGTGAATGGTTAGAATCCCCATGGTAGTCACTAAAGGTTGACAGTAATTAAGATAAATTGCTTAGCTTACCCAGAAAGTAAGGAAATGGTTTCTTTGTCTCAATTGTTTATTAATGAAGTCAGAGAAAATGTGTAGTGGATACCATGTGTAAACAAACCTCTGCAAACAGGCAGCCTCATGGTGATTTGGTCCTAATGCTGACTACCATAACCATACCTTCCAGAGGAATCCAAGGCTGCCCTATGGCTAACAAATAATTTTATTTCTGAGTCTGTTAGTGGACAATGAAATTTCTTTAGTGGCCATCCATCCAGAGATGATTTTTCAGGACTTGCAAGAGACTGGATATGGAGAGAGGCCCCGACATCAGATAATCCCCACTGTTGAAGAACTATATTTATATTGCTCGCCTTAAGTTCACAAGGCTGGCATCTATCTGAAATCACAAGAGTTGAATAACCACATTAAATACAGATGCTTAGGGAGATATATATCTATGTGTGTGTATGTGTGGAGGGAGTTATAGGTATGTGTGTATACACACATATGGATAGATGTGTGTGTGTGTGTGTATATATATATATACATATATATATATGTGTGTATATATATATATATACACACACACACACATCTATCCATATGTGTATATACACACATACCTATATATATATATATATATATACACACACACACGCATTTTTAAAAGTTTTACCATATATATCATATATGCATATATATGTGTATATATGGATGTATATATGAATATATATATATACATGCGTTTTTAAAAGTCTTGTCACCATATATATATAAATATATATATATATATGCATATGATGGTATATATAGATATATACATATATCTATATATATCTATATGGCAGCCAGCATTAAGATCATATATATATATATATATATATATATATATATATATTCATATATACATATGTATACATGGTGATGAGACTTTTTAAAATGCATGTTCCAAATGTTCTTTTCTGAAAGATTAATATTTATTTCAGTGACTCCAAAGCTCTAATATCTAGATAAAACAGTAAGCAAACTTGTAACCAATAGCACATCTGGCAGTCTTTATTATTTCTTCATTCATTCATTCATTCATTCATTCCATAAATATTTGCTAAATTCTTCCTGTGTTGCAATTACTCACTGGTCTCAGGGGTGATCAAAAACAGTCAGCATATTGCTTCAAGGTGCTTACAGTCTAGTAATGGAGACAGATGTTAATAAATAATTATGAATATCTAATAATTCTAAATGTCTAAATATAAAAGTGGTAAGAGCTCTAGGGAATAATTATATATATATAGATAGATTGCTATTGCTATGTCTTTCATATATATATGTATTTATATATATATGTATATATCTATATTCATACATATATCCTTTCACATATATGTATATGTGTGTGTGTGTGTGTATATATATATATATATATATATATATATATATATATATTTCTATGAAAGACACAGCAATAGCAATCAATTTAGCAGAAAGATACAGACCTCAAAGAACTTTTTCCTTAGGAAATAACAATGAGCAGATCTGAAGGATGAGTAGATAGTTATTAGGCAAGGAGAAGGGAATGGGGCAAAAGCCCTAGGGAAGGACTGCACAGGTACCACTGATACCTCAAAAGGACCAGTGTGGCTGGAAAACAGCATAAAAAGAGTGAGCATGGAGGATACGGTGCTACAGAGGTAGGTAAGTACTGTGCTAGGAACTTCCAACTCATTTTAGACCTTAAAAGGCAATAAAGCATTTTCAGTAGTGAGGAGGAGATGTAAGATCAGAGTAGATTTAATATTGGGGTTTTATGTTTGTTTGTTTTAGACAGGATCTCACTCTGTCACCCAGGCTAGAGTGCACTGGCATTGATTATAGCTCAATGCAGCCTCAACCTCCCAGGCTCAACCTCCCACCTCAACCTCCTGAGTAGCTGGTTCAACAAGTGCACACCACCATGTCTGGCTAATTTTTTGTACTTTTTTGTAGAAATGGGGTTTTGCCATGTTGCCTAGGCTGTTCTTAAACTCCTGGGCTCAAGCAATCTACCTGCTTCAACCTCCTAGAGTGCTGGGATTACAGGCATAAGCCACCACACCCAGCTGTGTTTTTAAAATTAGTTTTAGATTCATAGCAAAATCAAACAAGAAAGTAGGATTCTCATACACACTTTACCACTACATATACACAGCCTCCATTATCAAAATTCTGTACCAGTGCAATTTATTTGTTGCAACTGATGAACCAACATTAGCACACCATCATCACCCTGGTTCATAGTTTACATTACTATATTATGGTCCACTCTCATACATGTATAGGTTTTGTCAAATGTATAAGACAGGTATCCACCATTATAGTATCATTCAAAATAGTTTTACTGACTTAAATACTCCCCGTGCTCTGCTCATTCATCCCCTCCCTTTCGCCTAACCCTTGGCAACCACTGATCTTTATACTCTCTTCAAGGTCCTTTGCCAGCATGTCATATAACTGGAATCGCTCAGTATGTAGCCTTTCCAGATTAGCTTCTTTTACTTCAAAGTGGATACTTAACTTAGTTTCATCGTGTAAAATAAATAAAGAATTGTTGAGGGTAGGTGTCACAGTTTACACAGGAAAACCACCTGAAAAGATACTACAGTAGACTAAGGTCATGATAGTAATAATAAAGACTAGAATTTCTTTACCAGTAAAATGGACAAAATTTGATGATACGTGGAATATGGAGCATGAGTAAGACAGAGAATTAAGGATGATTCTGTGGTTTTTGACTTGAGCATCTGGTTGGATGTTGGCATCATTTTTAAGCCGGAAATTGCTAATGAGGACAAGGCTTAGGAGAAGGATTACCTATTCAGTCTTGTAGTTGTTGTTTTTTTGCAGTGCTGTTGAGATATCAGAGTAGAGGCAGTTGTATACCAGAATCTGAGGAGAGGCTTAATCTGCAGATGCATATTGAGATGCCATTAATGTACAGGTACTAATAGAAGTCACAGACTTTGACAAACTTATTTCAGGAGAAAGTAAGAAGAAGAAAAGAGTGAAGGCCTTACAGAACTCCAACATGTAATGGGTACATGAAAAAGGAGAAGCTGGAAAAGTAAACACACACACACACACACACACACACACAGCCAGAGAGGTAGAAAAATGACTCGGCATGATCTGGTAGCATATGCCATTTTTAAGTCCCGAACTTTCCATGAATAATTTCTTTTTCTAATCAGGCCAAACTGAAAATAAGTTTTCTCTTCTATGAACTGGAAGACTTGATGAACTGCTAGGATGTTTGGTGCAAAGCCAGTCTAGTATCTTACTCTGGACCCATTATTGCTTCTATATCATATTGTAAGCATCCCGTTTGAAGAGTTGGCTTGCAAAGGTTTTTGTCCATGTAGTTTTTGATTCATGCAGTGCTGAGTGTAGCACATGTTAAATAAATGATTTTTCTAAGATATGCTTTGCTAACTTTTACAGGATTTGCTTAGGCAAAAATGTTCACACCCTTTCCATTAGTTAAGCTTAACTAAAAACTTCTGCTAAATACATACTGCACAGACTATGCAACACCATATTCTCCCACTGCTTCAATATAAACTCTTAAAATGCTCCCAACAGCTCATTGGTTAGCCATTTTTACTTTTAAGACCCATAGAGAGATCAGAGAGACAAATTTTACTGCCGGATATATGTTTTAGTAGTTACTACAGTCATTAGTCACGAAAAATAATACTTTGTCTGTACCAGATAGGATATAGACTTGGAAGGTTAGATCACACGAATTCTGACGAGGCATTCCTTTAGTGAGTAAAGAACGACTGTTTTTACTGGCTAACCAGAGGTTTAATTGTCAAAAAAATTATTAGCGTTCATTGGTGCCATGACTCTCTGTACCTGAGTTCCTAAAATGCCAAGGTATCTGTTCAAATCACTGATAAAAAAATTCATCATCCATATATTTTGTCACCTAACCAATAAGACTATAGTTTTAACTAACTTTAAAGTCAAAAACTTCTAGTTTGCCACTCTTTCACTTTGTTAAGTTTTACTAAGTTTCTGTCCTTAGTCTTAGTGCTTTTAGGAGTGAATGAGAAAATGTTGACTGTTTTTCTGTAAAAGCAGGGAGTATTTTAAAAATCAGAAGAAATATATAACAACATTCTTGTAATATAATATTAGAATTTCCTATTTTTGTCTACTGCAGATAAATTCTTTAAAACTGTGAGAAACAAAATCATTTTCAAGAATTCTGTGTCATATCTAAGCAAAGTTCATTATTATAGTGGATAAAATATTATTCATCTATCAGTTTTTAAAATGTCATAAAGGAAGAGTGGCAGCTTTTCATGTTGGCCCCACAAATAATATTTGCATGCCAAGTGATGATTTCAACAAATGAATCATTAAAAGAGAACACATCAAAATATGTCTTGGAAACATTCCAGGGACAGAAGCCAACCAAATGTCCTGTTGGGGGGAAAAATATCAAAATCCAGATTCATGCATTCCCTCCAAATGAAATCTATGCAGCATCTGTGATTAACTGGTGTTTAAGTACATAAAAAAAAGTGATGCAGCTTAAAAGGCAATAGTCTCACCACAAGAGAGTATATAAATGTTATGGGATAGAACTAGTAACTTCCTATCATCTGTTATTTCTAAGATATTGTCAATTTTGCATAGATTTTAATGAATTTAAAATATTTCAAGGCTTCAATGAGCTGACCTACACAGGTTTCTCAATTACATTTTTGAGAATCTTAATTTTAAAAATGAGTTCA